GACGGTGAGAAAAGCGTGCAGCAAGCTCACTGCCCTAGACTTCAAAAGAGCAACTCTGGCCTCTTCAGGAGCCTGCTTAGTAAGGTTCCATGGGATATAGCCCTAGAGGGCAGGGGGGCTCAAGACTCTTGGTTGGTCTTCAAGGATCACCTGCTACAAGCTCAGGACTGTTGCATCCAAACCAGAAGGAAGTGCAGCAGGAGGGCCAGGAGACCACCTTGGATGGATAAGGAGCTCCTGAGGAAAGTTCAAATGAAAAAAGAGTTTTATAGAAAGTGGAAGCAAGGACAGGCAGCCTGGGAAGAGTACAGGGATGTTGTCCGGGAAGCTAGGGACCAGGTTAGAAAAGCTAAGGCCCAGTTAGAATTAAACTTGGCTAAGGATATTAAGGATAACAGGAAGGGATTCTACAGGTACATAGCAAATAAAAAACAGATTAGGGAGAACGTAGGCCCCCTCAGGAAGCTCTCGGGTGAACTAGCTACACAGGATTTGGAGAAGGCTGAGGTTCTGAATGACTTCTTTGCCTCGGTCTTCTCTAGCAAAGGCTCTGACCGCACCACCCAAGTCTTGGAAGGCAGACGCAGGGACTGTGAGAATGAAGACCTTGGGCCCACTGTAGGAGAGGAATTGGTTCGAGACCATCTTAAAAATCTGAACGTGCACAAGTCCATGGGTCCTGATGAAATCCATCCGCGGGTCCTGAAGGAGCTGGCAAATGAAGTTGCTAAGCCGCTGGCCATCATATTTGAAAAATCATGGCAGTCAGGTGAAGTTCCCAACGACTGGAAAAAGGGGAATATAACCCCCATTTTCAAGAAGGGGAAAATGGATGACCCGGGCAATTACAGACCAGTCAGTCTCACCTCTGTGCCTGGCAAAATCTTGGAGCAGATTCTCTTGGAAGGCATGCTAAGGCACATGAAAATCAACAAGGTGCTTGGTGACAGCCAGCATGGCTTCACTAAGGGGAAATCCTGTCTGACCAATTTGGTGGCCTTCTCTGATGGGCCTACAGAACTGATGGACAGCAGTGGAGCAGTTGATGTCATCTACCTGGGTTTGTGTAAAGCACTCGACACTGTCCCACACGACATCCTTGTCTCTAAATTGGAGAGACATCAATTTGATGAATGGAGCACTTGGTGGATAAAGAACTGGCTGGATGGCTGCACACAAAGAGTTGTGGTCAATGGCTCAATGTCCGGCTGGAGACCTGTAACGAGTGGTGTCCCTCAGGGATCAGTGTTGGGACCGGTCTTGTTTAACATCTTCGTCACTGACATGGACAGTGGGATTGAGTGCGCCCTCAGCAAGTTTGCCGATGACACCAAGCTGTGTGGTTCGGTTGATACGCTGGAGAGAAGGAATGCCATCCAGAGGGACCTTGACACGCTTGTGAGGTGGGCTGATGCCAACCTCATGAAGTTTAACCATGCCAAGTGCAAGGTCCTACACCTGGGATGGAGCAATCCCAGACACAGCTACAGGCTGGGCAGAGAAGAGATTCAGAGCAGCCCTGTGGAGAACCAATTGGGGGTGCTGGTCGATGAGAAAATGAACATGAGCCAGCAGTGTGCGCTTGCAGCCCAGAAAGCCAACTGTATCCTGGTCTGCATCAAAAGGAGTGTGACCAGCAGGTCGAAGGAGGTGATCCTGCCCCTTTATTCTGCTCTCGTGAGACCTCACTTGGAGTACTGTGTGCAGTTCTGGTGTCCTCAACATAAAAAGGACATGGATCTGTTGGAACAAGTCCAGAGGAGGGCCATGAGAATGATCAGGGGACTGGAGCTCCTGCCATATGAAGATCGGCTGAGAAAGTTGGGGCTGTTGAGCCTGGAGAAGAGAAGGCTGTGTGGAGACCTCATAGCAGCCTTCCAGTATCTGAAGGGGGCATATAGGGATGCTGGGGATGGACTCTTCATTAGGGACTGTAGTGATAAGACAAGGGGTAATGGGTTAAAACTTAAACAGGTGACGTTTAGATTGGATATAAGGAGGAAATTCTTTCCTGTTAGGGTGGTGAGGCACTGGAATAGGTTGCCCAAGGAGGTTGTGAATGCTCCATCCCTGGCAGTGTTCAAGGCCAGGTTGGACGAGGCCTTAGGTAATATGTTTTAGAGAGAGGCGTCCCTGCCCATGGCGGGGGGGGGGGGGGGTTGGAACTTGATGATCTTAAGGTCCTTTCCCACCCTAACCATTCTATGATTCTATGATTCTAAGATATGCTGGGTGGAGCAGCCGTACCTGCAATTTTTGAGTGGAGAGTCCTTGTTGGAGTTACTGCAGGGAAGAGGGGGTTAAAAAGAGTTAACTAAAAACGAAGCAGAATGTGTAGGTTGTCAGACAGCTGGATTTGAGCTATTCAGTTTGCAGAGACCACTCTCCTCCCTCGTCATCCTACTTTTGGGATGCTTTTTCTGGCAAATATGGAAGACCCCACATATACAATGGCAAAGCAAGCATTTTCTCCTGCCCCTGCATTGAACAGGGTGTGTGAAATGTAAATAGGTGATGGCTGAATCAGGGAGCTGAGCAAAACATCTGTCCACAGGAATCCAGTTGCTGCTGATGCAGGCAGGTATGTGTGTGTTGACTTTCCCCGTTTTGCTAGATGAGGGCACAACTTCGATGTACTGGTGTATAAACGAAGGACATTTTCCCTCCCTGGACACCATCCCATCATCATCCTCTGAAGACAAGTACCAAAGGTTTGTGATCTCGGTCAGCCCAACAGATCCATCCCAAAGCGTCCGTGTCTGTGCGGGCAAAGCTCAAACACCAGGGAATTATGAGGTAGCTGGTCCTGCGCTATGCCTTTTGTTAGCCTCCAGATTATCTGGGGGGCTGGTATACAACTTCCTTCACGGTATAGAAGCAGTCCAGTGGCCTGAGCAGAGCAGGGGCAGAAATGGTCTCTGCTGCTTTGGCAGGGGACGTCAGACAAGGCTAATGCCATCACATGGGAGAGCAGTTAAGTACTCCCATGGCTGCAAGGTGGAAGGAACCAAATGCATTTTGTGCCTCTGTGGTGCCCTGCCAACAGAAACAATAACAGTGATAATCACCTGCAATCTGCTATTATATTAACAAGAGGTAAAAAATCGTAAAACCCAATAATCTTCTGAAATGAATCTAATCTTCCCCCCCCCCGTAAATAACACACTGCATCGCAGTGCTTGGCAGTGGCAAGGCTGGGAGGGAGGGAAGGTTCTGGTATTGAAAGGTTTGGTGTGGCACAGGCAGAGGGATTTGCTGGATACCTGCCTGCCAGGTGAGGCTCTCTGCAATCCCTCCATTTGGTTGGCTTCCTTTAACCCTGTTGCTAAACTACAAATATGCCTTTCTAGCAAGCTCCAGCATCCTCACTCCCACCCAATCCCAAATGCAAACTGAATCAGCCTGCTCAGAAAAGAAACCATCTCTGGCTATAAAGGAGCTTTTTTTTCCCTTCCCCCCCCCCATATCTCTACAGAGTGGTACTTGGTTAGAAAGGGCGTCCACCCTGCCCCCTGCCAACCCAACAGCCACAGGAACTTTGTTAGGACAGGAGCGTGGAGAAAAGCATTTATACCGTACCAGGTGATGAAAACTGGCACAGCTCTGTTACAGCAAGAATAGGTGAGGATACTAACTACTCTGAGAAATAGCTACCACCTCACCTGCACAAGCGCTTGTTCACCCTGATGCAAGCTACGTTAACACTTCAGGACAGCAAGTGTTTTATGGCAGGGACAAGGGGGCAGGGTGGATGTTTTTCTGACCAGCGTTCTGCAGAACGATGCGTTGGAGGGTTGTCTGCAGTGGTCTTTTCTGTCATTCCTGGGTCCAACAGTCACACACTCATCATTCCCAACACAAGTTGTCAGGGCTGCCTTTAGGCTCAGTGAAAGGTAACAGATGCTCCTGGGGTTCACTTCAAGCCAGCCTATGGCGGGCATCTGACATGGGCCAGCTGTGGTGTAGGTTGCTGCAAAGGTTTCCACATAGTCCTCAGGAGCTTAATTTGGTCCATATAAACCTCAGGAAAGTTTATTAGAGCTTTCCCAAAATGCTGGCTTAACATAGACCACCGTATGCCAGCCTGACTTTTGCCATTATCAGAATACCTGTACAAGCAATCATGTTTATTGGGAAATGTCCTCTGGAGACTCCTCCAAACCATCCCCAAACAACTATATGATCCAATATAACAGTTTATTTTTTTTTCATTGGCCACTAATTGAGTTTAGTTATTCTTTTAAGGCCAAATTTCTGATCTGCATAACAAGAGGGCGCCCATAAGCAACTGCTGTCTTAATCAATGGATTCAGTGAGTCTACATCCAGGTGTTTGCTTGGCAGATGTTGAGTCTGGAGCTCACATTAGGACTTAGATCCCATTTGCGTTAATGTATGACAGTAAACAGAGTCTGGCCCCAGACTTGCAGGTATACATGTCTATTGAGGCAAATGGATGGAAATTAATTGTTGAAGTGGCTCAGAAAAGCAGGAGTCCAACAGGTTTGCTGTCACTCAGGGATAAGAGGGACAGAGTTGCCAGGGAAGCTTCAGGCCCCAAGAATGCCTTGGTCAGTGTGGGGAGGGAGCAAAGGGGCTGCTGGCAGAGCCTGGTTCCTTTCTGGTGAACCAGCATAGGGATTTTGTCTGCCTTTGCATAAATGGAGGCTGCCTTAGGAGGATGCTTTGCTTGGATGAAAGAGCTAGGAGTAGCCTATTTATTGTCCCAGGGACAGGGGCAATGGATCTGGCTTTAGTCCCTGCTTCCACTATTTGCCCACCTCCAAGGAGGACATCTTTATTCACACCTTCCTCATGGAAAAATTCAGCAAGGGTTCCAAGCACTGTGGAATCATTTGCTTGAGGGTGTAAATGGGCCATTTAGGGTCTGCCTGCCCTGCAGTATCCTGGGCCCAGCACAGCTCCCAACCCTGCTCCAAGGCAGCCTTAGACACACTTTCAACACACCTTCTAACTCCTCTCCTTCTCTTTCTCTTCCAGGGCTCAGCTCCCATCCTGGTAGTCATGGTGATCTTACTAAATATTGGAGTCGCCATTTTGTTTATTAACTTTTTCATCTAATTCAAGACTACTTTGTTCGCAAAAATAAGTTACATGTATGAACGGGGGGGAAAAACCCAAACAACAAGAAAAAGGGAAAAAACATAAGTCGAACTGTTCTACAACAATTTCCAAGTCTTTTCACAGAAGAACAACAAACGATCGAGTCTCACTCACAGTTTGCCTTTTTTCCTGGGTAATGTTTTTTGGATTTTAGCCAAAATTCTTTACTTGCATAACACTATTCTGCGTGACATGGCAAAATGCTATCAACACTCTGCTCCCGCAGCATGGGTAAGGATGAGAAGGAATCTCAACAAAATAAAACCGCATTTCCCTTCCCCTCACCCTGTAAAAATATCTTCAGAACAACAGCAATGAAACCCAAAGTGGAGACTAAATGAGGGGACCATGGGGAGATTTTGTTTGATGTATGGGTCCTGGGATAGTCCAGGCTGAGCTTCCCAGGGAAGTCCACAGCATCTTTAATGATAAATGGGAGAGAAAAGCAAAATCAGGCTTTTCTTCCTTCTCCCGTCGCAAATGGAGAAGCATTGCTCTAAGGGGGAAAAACACAGGGAAGGCATGAACCCTGCCTGGATGGGAAAGATGAGAGAAGGGCAACAGGCCCTATTTTATTACTTGTTTTTTTATTTTTAAAACAAAGCAGCAATTGGAGCTTTGTTAACTTTCTTGGGGTGAAATGGGGGTGTGGGAGTGGGGAATAGGGAACACAAGGTGTAAGCAGCAGCCCCGCTACCCTCCTGCCTTCGCTCCTCCTCCCCAGGCTGCTCCCCGCCATGGCAGGGCTGGAAAACCACCCACTGCTACTTTCAATTCACAGCAAATTTCTAATAGATAAAAATATCTACCCGGATTCCCCCCAAAAAAACGTGGAGGCACCTTCAGCAACACAAATTGAGTAGCTGCTGCTCATTGTGCCGTGCTCACCACCGTGTGAGGCGCAGCATTAACACGAGCATCCCATCCCAAACACATGCGTGAACAGAGATGCCAGGGAGCAGACTGGTGGGGAGGGACTGGGGAGAGAGGGCTCGATTCTGATCCACTTTGGATAACAATAAAACACAATAAAGCAAAATAAGGTAAAACTGTTCTTCAAAGGTATCTGGAGAGGAGCACTGGAGCATGTCCCAAAGACGGCGAGGGTTGTTGGGTTTGTCTCTTACATCTTGCTGTGGACTGTTTCAGACATCATGCTTGGGCTCTGAGCATGTAGTATTTTGTACTTTGTAATGGAGGATGTATATTCCAGCTTCCAAAGTGTCCCTGTAAAAAACAAACAAACAAACAAAAACACCAAACAAAAAAAAAAAAAAAAAAAGGAAAGAAAACCAGGGAAAAAATCAGGAAACGTCAGCAAGAGATAGAGAAAACATAAAAAAAATATATAAAAAAGATTAAAAAAACACAAAAAAACCCAAAAAACTAAATGTCATTGGCAATGGCAGCCTCTAAGGATGCATTCTTTTTTTTCGTTTTCTATGTCACTTAATTTGTTTCTTTATGCCATCTTTGTAATATGCCTGCCTTGATTTTCTCCCCTCCCCTGTCCCCAGTGATAATATGAATACTCATCCCTGTTCTGAGCTGTCACGGTCCCCATCACACAAGTGCATTCTTAGCTCAATCGCTTGGAAGTGGCCTACAGCCCCTCGCTTCTCAAAAATGACTGTACTGGTTCCTCGTCTTTTCCTACCATGGAGATTGTCTTTGCCAGTGATCCACCACCACCAGGTACAGTTCAAATGGCTTCATTTGGGATTTGGTACATCCAGGGACCAAATTCCACCCTCAGTTCAACCAATTGCACCGTTCAGCAGGAGAAGGGGTGTGAGCATGGCAGCAACCCGAGGGTGGGATGAATCCCTTCCACAGGTATATTTGGAGGAAGGAAGGAGGGAACAAATCCTCCTCGACATTACACATACAGAATTGTTTGGTACAGCCCTGACTTGCGGACTCAGCTTTGCTTCGCTTCTGTTTTAGATGTTTCTCTGCTACCTTTTCAGCAGATTTCTTATTACGCTGCGCTGGATTGCTATATTTTTAACCAGAAATAAACTGAGGAT